TATTCCCAACTGACATCAATGTCCCCCCACTATAACCAATATTCCCAACTATCACCAGTGCCCTCCACTGACACCAATGTCCCCCACTGACACCAATGTCCCCCTACTATAACCAATATCTACCACTATCACCAATGTCCCCTACTGACACCAATCCCTACTATCACCTGTGCCCACCACTGGCACCAATGTCCCCCACTGACACCAATGCCCCCCTACTATACCATGTCCCCAACTGACACCAATGCCCCGCCCCCCACTATAACCAATGTCCCCAATTGACACCAGTGTCCCTCTACTAGCTGACACCAATATGTACAGAAGAGTCACCAGCCCACTTACTGTGATATAACTTTGTCCTTTATTGACAACAGGGCATTTTACCGCAATGCATACGTTCAAATGGATCCAAATTGCACATCTTTTGGAGTAATATCTGCCTCATCTCCAATAGTAATTCTGTTGCAAATGTGTGCAAAACTGTCTCTGTCTTCTGCCCAGGACTGCAGGTGAAGGGGGCGTGGGGGGTCCCATACACGCCAAAAATAACCGTCACCTAGAATTTGTTAAATAGGACACACTTGTTGGATTTGTATCTAATTTTGTCACCAATTTGCTCAATAAACGTCCCTCTGTGTTCACATCTTTGCAGTGTGGTGTGCTAAAGCTATGTATGTACGTTGGGAATGGGAATGAACAACAGCGCAATGCACGTAGACCTGACTCTTAACGTCAATTGCGGTAATGGAAGCACGCATTTTGCCACACATCACAACAACGCGTAGCTGTGAATCCGCTCCTAGTGTTATTAATGGTCAGATTGTGTGCAGACCCCGCCGGTGACCCCGGGGTAATCTCCGCATGTAACCAGGTTTCTTCCTTGTGTTGGGGATGAAATAACTCGGAACGGTGGGGGGACAAAGCAGCGAGAGTCTCATTCCTGTGTTAGTTTTGTTAGATCTAATTACCTTACTTTCTAGTGTACACAGCTGCGGCCCACATGCATTGCACACACTCCCATCCCAGCAAAGTTTTCAAATCCTGATGAGGCCGGAGCTCCAGGATGTTGGAGTTATGGAGAAAACTCTAACAGCCCACCGGTTGGCGACCGCTGGTCTAGAGCAATGGTGGTCAACTTACAGAATTTGGGTGGCCTCAAGTATGGCCCCAGGCACGTCCACAGGGGCCGCACAATAGTTGAGTCTTCATACATTTCTATACTAAAGTGGAGCTCAGAGTAAGAGGGGGAGAGTGAATATTATGACATGGTCTGCTTTAGCTGCTAAAACCTCCATAATGACTCCCCTCACAGGTCATACAAAATATCCAAACCAAGCTAAGGAATTGAGGTTTAGGTGCTTACCATGTAGAACAGCCTTTCATCCACCATCTGGTGTCCTCAGGGGTGCCTCGAAATGTTTGGACAGGGTCATGCCTTTATATGGTGCAGCACTACGGAAACAAATGGTGCTGATGTAAAGGGGGCGCTATGATGTAAGGGGAGGGGGTCTTTTTATTTGAAAGGGGGGACTTTGGTATGAAGGGTTGCTCTGATGTAAAGGTCGATTAATCGAACTTAATAATCGGCTAACTAATCGATTTTGAAAATAATCGTTAGTTGCAGCTCTAAAAGGGTGATGTGAAGCTATTAAGAGGATTCTTGATGTGAAATGAAGGCTTCTGATATGAAGGGGGACTGGTGATGTGAATGGGGGGACTCTGATGTGAATGGGGGGACTCTGATGTGAAAGGGGGGACTCTGATGTAAAAGGGGGCTCCTGATTTGAGGGGGAGGACTCTGATGTGAGGGGAACCCTACTTTTATGAGCTTTCACATGCCCCCCCCTATAGATTTTGGAGGGGCCATCTGCCTTCATTTGTACTATTTTTACATTTTAGACTGGGGTGCCCTGAGAATTTGCACACTTTTAAAGGGTGCCGTGATGGAACACTGGCTGAGATCTGCTGATCTAGACATTTCTCTTACGTTCTTTCTGATCATTCACAGCTGGAATGTATAATGTAGCAGAGTAGCAATGCAAGGGGACTGGGAGGTAAAAAGTAGCAATTGTACCAATCACTCATATAATGTAAATGAATAGAGGCACACACTGTGTTGGAGGAATGTGCAGACTGTCCAGTCTGCGTGTTTGGAGAGGGGATGGTCCACAGATGATGATAGTGATCCTTCAAGGACTATGTTCGCTCCATTCCATAATGGAGAGCCCTTTAACTCATGGCCAGCCAGCAAGAGTCTCATCCAAGGAAACCGCGCATGCGGATGAACAAAACAACTGTCATTCAACGCGTTTCGGGGGGAATAGCGCTCCCCTTTCTCCGGAATAGTGTCAGGCTATATGCAGAGTGGTAGTTAACCCCTTGTGTGCCTATTCAAAGTGCTGGTAATAGCAATCGATGTTCCTGAATGGTGAATTGCCATAGTGATAATGTCCATATTAAAATGCTAGTTACTACGGTTTCCTTGTCATGGTATCCGAGTCTTGTTGCTGAATGCTGACCATGTCCATCCCTGGCTTTATGATCATAACCTTCCTGAGCTGTCAAATAATTGTGGAACGTTTGAGTAAATGAACGTAAGGGACATTATCTGTCTGCTCGGAGTTCATGTGTACAGCTCCCCAGACACGTTATAATCTATGAGAAATCAACTTTACATTTACTAAAAGCAGAAACAGCGAAAACGTCTCTTCATGTTCAGAACAGCATTTTATTACATGGACTTCCAGGGAGGAGCACAGGAGTGTTATCCAATGACAGTTCAATAGAAGTCTGTTACTTGTTATGTGTCATGTGTGTTACCTGCTATGTGTCATGTGTGTTACCTGTTACGTGTCATGTTATGTGTCATATGTGTTACCTGATATATGTCATGTGTGTTACCTGCTATGTGTCATGTGTGTTACCTGTTACGTGTCATGTTATGTGTCATATGTGTTACCTGATATATGTCATGTGTGTTACCTGCTATGTGTCATGTGTGTTACCTGTTACGTGTCATGTTATGTGTCATATGTGTTACCTGATATATGTCATGTGTGTTACCTGCTATGTGTCATGTGTGTTACCTGTTACGTGTCATGTTATGTGTCATATGTGTTACCTGATATATGTCATGTGTGTTACCTGCTATGTGTCATGTGTGTTACCTGTTATATGTCACATGGGTTACCTGTTATGTGCCATGTATGTTACATGTTGTGTTCTGTGTGTTACCTGTTATATGTTGTGTGTGTTACTTGTTATATGTCATGTGTGTTACCTGTTGTGTTGGGTGTGTTACCTGTTATATGTCATGTGTGTTACTTGTTATGTATGTTACCTGTTAAGCTCACCACACGTTACAATCTGATCATACAATCTCCTTTAGATCTACCAACAAGTGTGTAGTGCAAAGGCCTCCCTGATTGGATGCAGATTGATTGGACAGATTAGGGTCCTCATATTGCATTGTTTCAGTAGATTGTATGGCCAGATTGTAACATGTGTAGTGACCCTTATATGTCCCGTGTGTTACCTGTTTCCTGTTACATTATTACTCTTCACATAAAAGCAATGACATCCGTATTTACCAAATAAAAAAAGACATTTCAAAGTGTACATTACATATGTTCTCATGTGTCTTATAGTATGTATTCTTAAAGAAGAAACCCCCCCCCCCTCAAGAAAAAACATGCCTTGCAGTGGGGCTGCTCATGTACTGCAAGGGTTAAGTGCCCGTTTTGTTTAGGGGGTTCAAATGAAGCCGATATACTCACCTGACCCTCTCCTCTCTGCTCTGACTATGGAATGTCCCTCAACATCCTCACGTCTAATGCAAGTCACTGAACCTATATTAGACCCGATGACGTCAGCGGGTGTGGGGACCGGTCTAGCAGTCTGGCGGGACTGCGGATCAGGTGAGTACATCTGCTTTATTGGAGCCCCCTAGACAAAACCAGCACTTAACCCTTGCAGTGCGGTGGGGGTGGTGGTAGCCTTTATATTACCAGCTTTGCTTGGATCCTGTTAGTTTAGGGACCTATTCACACTTGTCTGTTTTCATGCAGCAAAACGCATGGATTTTGCTACATGAAGACGCATTGCATTGCAAGTAGATTTCTCATTCTTTCCTATGGGGCTGGTTCACACGTATGCGCTGCAGTTTAGGGGATCATTCGCACGGCACTAGCCCTTCTGGATGGAGCTAACAAGTAACTTCCTATACTCATCCAGCTCTGTGCGAATGTCCTCCACTTTTATAAATGAACCCCTTAGTGCAGGGGTAGGCAACCTTGGCTCTCCATCTGTGCTGAAACTACAAATCCCATAATGCTTCTGCCTCTGGGAGTCATGCCTGTGGCTTGCAATGCCTTATGGGATTTGTAGTTTGAGCACAGCTGGAGAGCCATGGTTGCCTACCCCTGCCTTAGTGGAAAAAAAGAGCATTAAACTCTATGAGCCCGTTCATACCGTGTGTGCTGCATACACACAGACCAGTGTGAATCCAGCTAATAACAGTTTTGGGGGTGTCGCAGGTTCACAATTCTTTTCTTAAACTATCATTTATATTTTTGAAAAAACCCTAATGATAGGACATGATAGTGACAAAACGCATTTAAAACAAAGCAAACTCATTGAAAGGCGTCACTCTAGTGCACAAAATTGTCAGCACCAATACATACATACATAAAAGAAGTGCCACGTGTGCACAGCAGCACCGCTTTCGTCTGCGTTTACATTTTAATTCCATGTTCCGATTTTTCTTTTAATGCTTTTAAGCTGTTCTGTTAATGTGAAGCTATAAAATATGACACTACTTAGTACACCCAAAATTTCGTATAAAGATATGTACATTCGCAAAAAAAAAAAAGACACCTTAGTCGACAAAAATACATTGTACAGGAAACCAGGTGACACTTTTTCCTTCATTGGTATCTTATTGTCCTCTTCCAGGCAGCACAGTCACAACCCATTGGAACCAGTGGGTGGGTCATCGGCGGGGTCGCCATAATTAATCCACGCATGCTTTTATTTTTGAATCGAAGAGTTTTGAAGACTTATGATATACACACACTCTTGCCGCTGGGTCACCGTCCCGTCCTATGGGGCGCCAAGCAGACGCATCTGCTTAGGGTGAGATTTGGGCGAAGTGGGCAAGAGCTCTAGAAGAAGAAACCTCTGCAGTCTGCGTGCTCACCGTCTCCCACCAGGGGGCAGCACGTGTCAAAAATGCACCCCTGCCGGGGTTGGCACTAACATAACAGGGTTCATCAGTTGCCCTCCTTCGGTGAGAAGATCTGCACTAACTCCTCGCAGTCAGAGTCTATGAGCTCGGATGGCGTCTCCCCTTCGCTGTTCACAACATCCTTTTGCGCTCCGAGGGATAGAAGATACCTGGGTAGAGAGAAATCATTTTTCGGATTAGGACAGTACACATTTCAGGAGCCAGGTGGCCCGCGTATTGCAATTAAAGCAAATCTAAACCCAAGAACAAAAATCTAATACTTGGGCTGACCCGTCCTTAGATGAGGTGGCTGCATTTGTTTCCTTATTTTTTCCTTTATTATCACCTGATGAGCCTGCCAGCAGCGCCGGATTTGAGGCTGCAGAGAGAGTAAATCCAGCCCTTCCTGCCAGGATACACTTCCTGTTCTAGGGTGACAACGCTTACTCCTGTATCTATAGCGGAGTAGCATTGTCACCCACAGACTACTTCAATAACCCCCCGCTCTCCTCCTCACTGTAACATAGAGGGGATGGGTTCTGTAGTTGTCAGAGATAGCTACGAAAATGTAACTGATAAGGCAGCAGCACGGGCAGAGAGCACTGGAAGTTATCAGCAAGATTTCTGGCAGGATCAACAGTTATAATACAAAAAGAACAAACACTTTTAAAGCTTACCTCACACGTTGCAATATCAGTGGCTTCACAAGGGGGGTGCGGCCCGCACCCAGGTGACACCATTGGAGGGGTGACACCAAAATGACTGACAGTCATTTTAGTGTCACCCCCTCTGAAAAGTCGGGCACTCGGTCATGGACAGTGTCAGGAGAGAGAAGGGGTCCTGGCGGCATACCTTATCCCGCTGGGTGAACGTCCCTGCCTCTCTCTGCCGGTGTCCATCAAAGATGACTGCTGGTAGGTATCACAAAGATGGCCGCGCATGCGTGATGACGTCATGGCGGGGTGTCACCCGGTATACGCTCCGGTTTACACACGGCCTCGAGATGCCCCTGTGCAACCTGATTGTATAATACTCTTTAAGATCTACCAACAACTACGTCGTGCGAGGCCACATATACTGTAAGTCTATGGGGTTGTAATGTGGCCGTTGGATCTAGGTAAGTATACATCTGTAGAAGGGGAGGGTGGGTTAAGTTGGGTAAAGATAAAGGGACACAAGGGATACATCCGTTCACTGATCTCCTCCCCACTGAATGGACCGGGAAGTGACTAAATCATTGTCACTTCCAGGTTTATTGCTGAGCTGTCATTCTCCTGCCAGAGAGGCCGGTGAAGAAGCTGATCAGGCATGAACAGATTCAATAGGCTGCAAAGGTCAAGACCTCCACGCTCATGTCGGTCACAGCACTATCTGAACCAGGGGTCAGCAACTTCGGCACTCCAGCTGTTGTGGAACTACAAGTCCCATGATGCATTGCAAGACTGGCAGCCACAGGCATGACTCCCAGAGGCAAAGAAATGTTGTGATTTGTAGTTTCGCCACAGCTGGAGTACCGAGGTGGCCTACCTCTGATCCAATCCGTTAGATTAGCATGTAGGCCAGGCAATTTGCATCTTCAAGTTGTAACCCTTTAAACAAACGTTTTGACTGGAGTTGGGTTTTAACATTTCTAGAGAACTAGTCACATGTAAACTTCTTATACGTGAAGCTGGCTGCTCTCAGGGGACGACCGTGGTAAGCTGCAGGAAGGGGGGGAGAAGGCTAAACTGGTCCCAACACATGTCTTGGGAATGTGACTTGCCCTCCCCTCCCCCAGCACTAAATGGCAAGGCGCTGCCCAAGATCAACTTGAAAGGGATTGTCTTAAATGCCAGTCCATGCTTTTCACAGCAAGGGGCGGAGGGCTCCATGCCATAGCGTACCACCCAAAACAGAAAAGGAGGGCGCAAATTTATAAATGTACAACATGTCCTTGCCGCAACTCAAATCTCTTTTATTTTTATTAGCATAAAAATGTCGACCAATAAGACTCTGCAGGCAATAGACGAATTTTAATTTCTGCAAAAATTGCCATCAGCACTTAGGATATCACAGAAGCAGAAATCACATAATATAATATGACCAAAATAATAATAACACCATTGCAGGGGTGACACCAAAATGACTGACAGTCATTTTGGTGTCACCCCCTATAAAAAGTCAGGCAGTCGGTCATGGAGCGAGAGCCCGACAGTGTCAGGAGAGAAGAGGGGACCCGGCGGCATACCTCATCCCACCAAGTGAATGTCCCCTCCTCTCTCTGCCGGCGTCCATCACCAAGATGGCCACCTGCAGGCGTCAATCAGATAGCCGCATATGCGCGGTGACACCCGGCCTCGGGACGCCCCTGCCCTAAAGGGTCTCTATGGTCAAAAACTAAAAGTAAATCTGTATTTTTATATTGAATTTCCATAAGTTCTCTCCCACTCCTAATAACCACATTGATCTAGAAGTTTGTAAACTTACTTATTGAAGATGCCCATAAGATGTACTTCCTCAATACACTGACACCAGTTCACTCAGCCCTGTATATATGCACTTTCTGGTGTCACCACTCTCACAGAGCCTGCCTTGTGAACTACAACTCAATATCTGAACAATGTAATAACATCATTGCTTGTTGGAAGCAATGCGTGATGGGATATGTAGTCTTCAGAAATGGAGATTGCATCACATCAAGCAGCAGGGAAAGAGATGCAAAGCACGCTGGGAATCCAGGAAGTTGCAGACGGAAGGCAGCACTCACTACATAAAAGGGATTTTTCCAGTAAGCTTTGATTGTATTATCAGAAACAACTCCAGTATGTATTCCTATTACAATGCTGATGTCATAACAGGAGAGGATATGCTGGAAATTTACAACTTTCTTTTAAAACCCATTGCCATTGATTTTGCAAACAACTTAGAATTTAAATGTCTTAGCTAAATGACTCTAATTTTGTAAATCCTTCTGATCCCCATTGTTACACTTATATTACAGGCACTGCAGATCCTAATATCTGAACTAACAATATACAGCAATCATATTTCAGGTACAGATTTTATATCATGGTCTTTAGATACAGATTTCAGCCCTCGGAGCACAGATACCAAAAGCAGCAGGAGAGCACTAATAAAGTGATGATGGATTCCCATTAAAATTGGGAATCCCCTGTGATGTGCCCATGTCAAGCGGGACGTAATGTACCAGCCCTTGCTGCAGGTTTTTTTCATAGCCTCCAACCCGTCTGGATCACAGTTATAAACTTTCCTTCTTGGCTTCTTTCTAGTTCCAATTGGCCAGTTCCCGTGTGCGGGGTTTTAGATGGATTAAGGGATTGCTTTTATGGTTACACGGTGACACCATTCCAATGCCCCGTATTGTTCACCCCGCGTTATTTTTAAAGGGGATTTCCATCTCCTGTCAAAGTTAATCTGCTAACTTGTACAAGGTTTTCTGTAACTTCTATTACATACACCTCTTCTTCTTTCTACTTGTTGTTTTACAGTTTTATTAAACCATATTGGTTTAGTCTTTGATCTTTTATTTTTGCTCCCTAAAGGTATACACTTTGAAGTAGCAGTATGTACTGTGTTTTTAAAACAATCCCACATCTGGTCTGTGTTTAGGTTTTGAAATAAGTTTTCCCATTTTATTTCCCCCACTAGGTTGCGCAGCTTCTCAAAGTTGGCCCTTCTGAAGTTTAGGGTTCTAGTCCTTCCAGTACACTTCCCTTTTCTGTGTTCAATATTAAAAGTAATCACATTGTGATCACTATTACCCAATGACTCCCCAATTACAATATCCTCGATTAACTCTGCATTATTAGTGACAATTAGATCTAAGATGGCATTTTTTCTGGTAGGAGTCTCCACCATCTGGTCCATGAAGTTGTCGCGCAACATGTTTAGAAATCGCCCCGCCTTTGCCGAACCCGAAGTTCCATTGGCCCAATTTATGTCTGGGTAATTTATGTCCGCTCTTTGGCGGGGGACCGAATACGATATTCTCAGACAAAGGTCTTTATTTTCCCCTTGCTCTGGGATGTGACACAGAACCCCATGCAGAGAACACATGGAAACTGAGCAATATCCCGGAGTCACCAAAATAACTCAACATTTGTCATGACGGATAAAGTCAATGCAAAAGACAAAAAAACAGAGGCCCGGCCAATGCAACCGATAGAAAGGGGGCTTAGGCTACCCTCAGTGCTGGGTCATTAGTTCTTGCTTCTGATATCTTTGGCACAAAGCTGGCAGTACAAGTGTTAGGAGAATAGAGAGAAGAAGGGGTTTAGAATTAGGTTTAGGGTCAGAGATTAGAGGGGTTTAAACTTTATGGTTGGGTTTTAGAGGGGAAGATCAAGTGTTAAAGGATAGGTGCACTTTAAAACAAAGTGCACTCTTCCATTTGGGTCCTTTAAGATGACATCACTGATCCCTCTTTCCCCCTGCACAGAGTTCCAACCGGCCTGGCCTTCATCTTGCAGCCTGCCCAGTACATGCCCATTGACGTTTATGGCCGGCCAGGAAATTGAGGTAGACAAGCCCCATAAAAGTCACCTTAAAGAAGCTGAAAGTCACAGAAAAAAAATATTTAAGGTCAAACTCTTGGCAAAAAAAAATAAAAATAAAAAACAGCCCCCCCCAGAGGTGTTAAAAGCAGCTATGGCTACAATACTGACGCTTTCCCTCGCAATTATTCTTTTCCACCTCTAGATATCCCCAGTCTTCTGGGTTGAATGATGCTCGGCAAAGACCAAGGATATCATGTAAGTGCAGGGCGTCATGGACCATCCCCCCGTGCACTCACAGCGTAATTATGCTTTTTTGAGGACCACTGGAGAAGAACCAAAGAGGAGGAGGACCTAGCACTTCACATGACTGGCTTGGCATCTGGAAAAGTTATGTATATAAGAAATTACATTTTAAAAAATGCTTCCAGGGGGCCTCTGGGGGAAAGGGAGGGGTGGCAGACAGAAGTTGCCCTTAGTGGCCTATAATATGTGCTACTGAAAAGACCCGGTACTTTCCTTTGAAAGGTTGGGGTAAAGGTGAAGGGTCCACTTCATGGGTTAGGTTAAATGTTAAGAGTTCAGGGGACAACTAGGGAATATGAAGGTTTTACAGCTCTTTTCAGCCCCAAGAGCTCTGCCGGGAATACTACATTGATATTTTACTTCCTAGAACAGGGGTAGGCAACTTGGGCAGTCCAGTTGTAGTGAAACTACACATCCCATGAAGCATTACATGACTCCAACAGCCACAGGCATGGTTTCCAGAGGCAGAAGCATGCCAAGGTTGCCTACAACTGTCCTAGAGCAAGGAGATAATGGCCACAATGAAGCAGATGCTCAGATTTCAAGACTACTAGAACACTGATAGCTGGATTCCCACAACAAAGTGGGGCAATGGAATTTAGGTTCCCAGAACAATGTAGTATTGGCACTTCTATCCAAAATAAACATTGGACAATTACATCTAGGTTGCTGATACAATTGACTACTATTGCTTAGGTTTCCATAACCAGACTTGATGATACTTGGGGCACCTCACCTAAGACATGATAATCCATATATAATAGCTTGGAGGTGTGTTCCAGGGGCAGGGGGCATGTGTGGTTGTTACTAATAGTAGGCATCAGTACAGGAAAACATGACCAAGCAGAAACTGGAAACACCATTAGTCTCCTGAATTTGCCCATAAACCGCCTAGCAGATGGTGTGTGGAAGCTGATATACTATATTCAGTATTCCGTGTCTTCCTCCCCAACAATTCACTCACATTACAGAGGGAGGCAGTAGTGCGGGTTGTGTTACTGTTTCATATTTGTTACTAGATAACGCAAAGCAGATATTGTCAGCTGCTGATATCAGAACAGAATACCTAAGTGGTGATACTTCCTGTTTGTCAAATTAAAGAGGAGTAGTCAGTGCTGGTGGCACTTAAATAGGTGCAAGGGGGACGCAGAAGTTATCGGGGCAGGTTTTGTAATCTGTCCAATGTTTCCCATTAGGATACCTGTAGACACTGACAGCAAGCTTGAAGGAACTTCCAACATGAGCCCAGTGCCCCCTAGATCTCATATGGGTTTTCGGAAAAGCAGAGCACCAGCACCTAGGAAAGCCTTTCCAATTCCGGTCAAGGTGGCAGTGTTCCCCCCATGCTCCCTCACTGCCTTCTATTGCTTAAACAGAGCTTGTCGTTTGGGTAAAGGGGAACATATGACCTCCCACATGTGACAGCTAATCGCCAAGCCCATATACTGTCACTTGGGTGGAAGGTGACATTAGCAACTAGAGTAAGCTCTAACACCAGGGTGGACTTCTGCAGTGGTGGAGGCGAGGAGGTAGGTCGAATCAGTGAGTATACCTTGGTGGGGGGAGAAGTTGGCTATCAGGAGTCACTCTCACTCTGCATTGGTAGGTGACTGTGCCTCAGCTCGCCTTCTGGCACACAACATCAGAAAAGACGGGAGTGTCCTTCAGAAAAGTGAAAATACAACTTTTATCAGAAGGTTTATAGATAGTTAAAAAGAGAATCAGGACAGAAACGTGGAAGCCATCAATGCTGACTTGCTTTTGAAGGTGCAGGCTTTGGGGCTTGTCTGTACTTTGATAAAACCAATAACACGAAGAAAAGCACTGTATACACTGTATGACCAAATGTTTGTGCACAGCTGGCCATCACAGCTACAATATTGCCAAAACTAATATTTATAAGTAATAACAGGTAATAAAGTAATAACATAGATTGTTGATCCGGATAATATCTGATTACCTTTAGTGATCAGGAAGGTTTTCTTTCCCCTATTAAAGGTGAGTGGAGTTGCTCTATAGGTGCCTTTGGCCTTTTTGTGGATCAACTGTGGGTTTAGGCTTCTGTGGATGCAGGTTTTTTAATCAATGTATTAATTTTATATTGGTGGGACTTGATGGTCATGTTTTCTATATGACTATGTAACTAACCCTCCAAATGATGAGTTCAGGTGTTTCCAGTGAAGGGTACTGTGAATACTACAGCATACAAAGACATTTTAGACAATTGTACTCTTCCAACCATGTGAGAACAGTTTAGTGATGGACCTTTTCTGTTCCATTATGACTTTGATTCTGTGTACAAAGCCATCTCCATAAAGACATGGTTTGAGGAGTTTGGTGTGGAGGAACTTAAGTGGCCTTTACAGAGCCCTGACCTGAACCCTACTGAACGGTTTTGGGATTAATTGGACATGAGCCAGATCTTCTCATCCAACATCAGTTCCTGACCTCACAAATGTTCTTTTAGCTGGATGGGCACAAAATCCCACGTACATCCACAGTCTGGTGAAGGCCATTTTCTTTTCCAGCATGACTGTACTCCTTTGTACCAAGCCAGCTCCATTAAAACATAGTTTAATGGGTTGCTGTGGAGGAACTCGAGAGGTCTACACAGAGCCCTGACCTCAACCCTACTGAACACCTTTGGGGTGAATTAAACATGAGCGAGTTCTTCTCATCCAGCAATAGTACTTGACCTCACAAAAATGTTTTTGGCTGAATGGGCACAAATTCATACAGGCACCCTCCAAAACCCTGTGGAAAGCCTACCCAGAAGAGTTGAGGTTTACTTTCCCCCTTGCCTCCCCCAGTACAATAGTCACTGTCTAAGAAGCCATTACCCTGGCCCAAGGGCACCAAGAGGGTGTGCAAAGCAGTATAGAAGTAATGACTTTTAGAATGCAGAATGATGGTAATTGCACAAGGGACTCTGAGAGCCGACTGAGGCAGTGAGGAAGTGAAGAGTAACCACAAGCTCCTTATGATGCCTGCTAAGCCGTGTATATCTTTCATTCACTTTGAGATGGCCATAGATATTAGATATCCAAAGTGGGCCAATTACATGTATAGTAGTTCAGTAGAACAGTCCACGTGTGATCCAAGGTCTGGTATGGTATCCAGGTACATCTGATTAAAGCAGGGCATTAAAACCAGGGACGTAACCAAATCTAGAACACCAAGTAGAGGGCATTCAGATCTTTGGAAACAAAGTGGACTGAAGTCTTCCTGACATCCTTTCTTGGCACCTTCTACTTGGTGTTTTGCATGTTTGCAGTCCTTCAAATTGGCAGGAGCAAGTAACAACCTTGTGTCATATTCAGACCGTCCCAAATGACTGTTTTCAGGTTACACGGCCAGGAAACCTTGTTCAGCGATAAGCGGACACTGTCTGCCCCTTCCGCCTTCCCCACCAAGCTCTTAGCTGTGCTGATCCATCAACTCTGGGAAGCCCCCTCAAGATCCTGTAATTTCCACCCGCCCCGTAAGAACTTCCTATCTCTCACCAGCAGCTGCCACTCCTACTTCCGCCGTAAGTCAAATTTAAACTTTTAGCTAGTTTGGGCTACCTCATTTTACATCTGAACTTTATAAACGCTGCAAGTTCCAAAACAAGCGAGACACCTTAAAGGGGGTTCACAAATGGCATCGATCTTCACAAAAATAAAGCTGTCCACACACTGGTAGATTTTCGCACGGAAAATCTCATCAAAACATTCAATAATCCCATCAGAGACTTGATCCTGGTCTTCCATGAACATTGTTCATCTCTGCAGCAGCTCCTCAAGGTGGGATGTTATCTGGAGCGCGGAAGAAGGAGGATTTGGATACCCCTGAAACGCCTCATCACCACCCTTTACTAAAAAAGGAACCATGGTACAACCAACCACCTTACTAATTCAGCCCACCACTACCATCACCATCACCACCAGCATCACCACCACCAGCACCACCTCCACTAGCACCACCTCCAACAGCACCGCCTCCACCATCACTTGTCCATGCTCTGCTCCCTTTTATACAATACAAACAGTAAGAAGTCAGTTTTGGTTCCATCAGGGAGCTCACCTGGCGATGTGCGGATGTGCGTCACTACACGCCATGTGCAGGGGGGTCCAGCCATTTTCATCTCTCTGCTCGATGTCCGCTCCGTATTTCACCAACAGCTTGACGCATTCCAGATTCCCGGAGAGGACGGCTTCGTGCAGGGCACCCATGCCTGAGAGACAAAGTACGGTTTATATTCCCTCTGTGATCGGGATTTCCTTATTTCTATTCTTTCATCTGGACAATTTATATCAACACATGACCTATTGCAACTGAATGTTTAAAGCTGTACTCCGGGATAATATACATAATATACATATTCTCATATACAATATACATACATACTCTCATACAAGAGCCATGCGTGTTCTTCCTGAATCTTGGTGAGCTTTGTGTATTTCTTCCAGATCTGTGCAGTAATCCAGTGTGACACTTGGAGCTTACTGTAATAAAGACTGCTCACTGCTGCTCGCTCTCATTGTGCAGGGTGACTGGTCTTGTCTCCGCCCCCTCCTGTAATAAAGACCGCTCACTGCTCCCCTCTCTCCTTGTGCAGGGTGACTGGTCTTGTCTCCTCCCCCTCCTGTAGTTTTCTGCAGGCAACCTGTAGTGAGTGCAGCTTGCTGGGCCCCTCCCACAGCTCTGCTCTCTGTACAGTCTATGTACAGCACAGTGGTGATGTCACTGCTACTTATACCTGGGTCTGCTTAGGCATTTGGTGCACACAAAGTGGATTGATATCCTTTGTGGCTATTGAGAGATAAATTTATATGATTGGAGTTCAGCTTTTTTGTTAACTGTAAGGTGGCTGCTCAGGCAGTTGTAGACCAGCCGTTCAAGAAGTTTGGAGGTAAAAGGGAGCAGGGAGATGGGTCTCAAGTTGTTTAGACTGGTGGGCCCCAAAGATGTTTTTTTAGTATGGGGGTTACCAGTGCTTGTTTTAGAGGGGTAGGGACGACACCATTAGAAAGGGAGAGATTGAAGATGTGAGTAAGGGAGTGTAGGATAGTGACCGGAGTAGTTGTGAGGGGATGGGGTCCAGGGGGCAGGTGGTTAGGCGAGTGTTAGACAAAAGAGTAGCAACTTTGTCGGTGGTAACTGGATAAAAAGAAGAGAGTAGTGAGTGTGGTGGCAGACAAGGTATGTTTGGAGTGGGGGAGGTCTGGGCAGAGGAGATTTCATTGCGAATTGCATCAATCTTGTCTCTGAAGTGAGTGGCAATTTCCTGGGCAGTCAGTGAGTTGGTTGGTGGAGGCGGTAGGGGACGAAGTAGGGAGTTAAAAGTCGAAAAGAGTTGATGAGGACTAGATGAGAGGGAGTTAAAGTGACATTAAACCCTCAGATGTTTTAACATAAACCAATACTGTAATGTGTGCCTTACTGTAATCCATGGTTTTTTCCCTTCTCTTTGCTGCTCTTCCTTTTAAATCCGTATCTCTTCTCATGCTGGGCAGAACTTCTGTTTTGCAGCAGCACTTTAATGAGTGTGATGAAGTAGGTCTGTTTGGCTGTGTGGAGGCAGGTACTATAATTGTGGAGAGCAGATTTATATTGGGTGAAATCTTGCAGGGATTTGGATTTGCGCCAATGTCGCTCAAGTGCACGACTATGTCTTCTGAGTTTTCTAGTGTCGTCTGTCAGCCAAGGCTGTATAGGACGGGGCCTGATTTTATGAGAGGTGAAAGGGGCAAGTGTGTCCATACAGGATGAGAGTGAGTTATTGTAGAGAGAAGTGGCAAGGTTAGGGCAGGACAGGGTTTTGACATTGTCATAAAGGTAGTCTGTAGCAGAGTAAAGAAGAGAGGCTTTGAAGTGGTGAAGGTTCACTTCACTTGTTGAATAAAGCAAGCCTGTACTGGAAAAAACACAGACTGTCATTGCTGACCTCCTTCTGAAAATGCAATTTGCCTGGCTGATGTGCTGATCCACTGTATTCAGTCAGTGACCCCTGAACAGGTATTCACTTACTGCATGCTTGTTCCAGCTCAAAAAAAAGTATTGAAACCAGACACACCCAGACAGAGAGCATTTCCAAAAAGTAGGTCAGCAATGGCGGCAGACATCTTTTTCTCAGCGTGGGCCTCCAAGCTGACTTTTGCATATCGAAATAACAACAGACATGATATTTTGTATCTTGTATTTTAATGTTTTATGAAGTTGCACTTCTAATTAGGAGATAATATCGGATTGTCAGCGAGGGATCTATTGAGTTATATGACTTTTATTTTGTGTAAACTTGCTCTTATTCTTGTTCTCATAAAACAGAGGTAGGTAAACACCAGCCCTCCAGCTGGGGTGAAACTACAAATCCCATCATGCACCTGCCTCTGGGAGTCATGTTTGTGGCTGTCAGAGTCTTGCAATGCCTTATGGGATTTGTAGTTGCACCACAGCTGGAGGGCTGGAGTTTGCCTACCCCTGTATAAAATATAAAAGGTTTGTAGATTGGCCACTAGAGGGAGTTCCCATTTTTCCTCTCTGTCTGGAGTTTTACTTTAATGCCACAATTTATTATGTGGGAGAAATTAATGTATTCAAAACATATAAAAGATTGCAGCTCTATAATCATGTATACATCACTAATAGAGTTGCTATCTTTTAGTTGTGACTTATGCATATGTAAATATCACAGTTGAGACTATTTTCAGTGGGGGGCCAGTAGCCCCTATCTTAATTTTGGTTGCCCCTGTCTCCCTGACATCTTGTGTCCGGGTTTCTTCTGCCATGAAACCCGGACACAGCATTCAAAACCCGGACTGTCCGGGTGAATCCTGGACAGGTGGCAACCCTAATCGCTAAATTAAATACAAGCAGTTTAAGTGCCTGGATGTGACGCGGCATCAGCCTCATGCAGTCTCTGCAAGAATAGTCCCATAAGCCATCATTACCTTTTCATGGTTCCAGCCAAGGGACAGAGAACAATGGAACAGCTGGGGGTTCCAGAAAACAAACTCTTTTCACCCCTTGAAAAATGTAAAAAATACATTTGATGCTTTGGAATTTGGGCAATTCTTAAAAAACAAAAACAAATGGTACCTTATTTATTTACATATATTTAAATTGTATCATATTTTCTTATCTGCGGTTATTGGGGATCTGAAATACAAAATACCCATAGAAGTAAGACGATGGGAGTCAGTGGGAGATGATCAAATGGCAGTGCGCCAACCAATCTCAGGGGACGCATTGATTGGCCAGGATGTATTTTTTCAATCTCGTAATCAAGAAAACATACATACATACATACAAGTATATGTATAAACAGGATCACGTTTAACAGGGTTGTATTGTAAATACGTAATGAAACCAGACAGGTTTTACAGGCGGGAGCAATGGGTCTTATATGGCCCGGTCACAGATGTGAACCTGGTTGGGTCAAGAGGTAGATCCAGGTATATTCCCACGTTTCGATCTCATGAACAAGATGTCTTTTTATGACCCATTGCTTTGGGTATTGGTATAAGTCTGGGGGGTGTAAGCCTGGTATAAGCCTGGCATTGGTATATGCCTGGGAGTGTCTGCACAGTACCTGCACTTGCAATAAAACGTTGCCATGACTGGTGTGACAAGTATATTTAATGGTCGAGTAGGTTGATTTCAGCTTATCGAACTGCTTAGGTGAAAACTCTTTTTGAAAAAAAAAAACTACTCTTTTTTTTATTTATTCTTTTTGGGTTTTTTTTGGGGGGGAGGGGTGTTAGATTGAGGATAGTTCACTATATTTATTTTCATTTTCTTTGTATCTGTCCTTTTTTAGTGTATTTGATCATTATTTTTCTACTGTTGCTTTAACTTTATTTCAAATTTTTTTTAAAAAAATGTATTTACATATTTATTACTTTTATTTTAATTTGTAATTTATTATTTTTATTGTTATTATTATTTTTTTTGTTATTTGTTTTGTTTTATCTTGGGAAAAATAAATAAATAATGAGGACTAACAATAGGCCCATTTTGGCACAAGAACAGGGATGGGTACCCTGGTTCAAGTAGTTTCCATATTCCCAAGTCACCTTATTTTTGCCTTCCCAACTGACTCCAGTGCATTTCCCTAAATTTTTGGAGCAGTGAAACTGTGCACATTCGCCTATCCCTAGCCCCAATTGTTATCACAGACCCATCGTACAGCAGTCATATCTCCTAATCCCTGACTTATGTCTATTGGTAGCTTCGGGCCACCGAGCCTCTGTTTTTGAATGTTTAAATGTCCCACACTCAGCATCTATTCATCAAGTTAACGGACATCAAAGTCAACTTTAAAGTGACACTGAACTCAGGAGTTAAATCTTAAAAATGCATTCAAGAACCTTAACTACTAACAAAACTATCTTATTTGTGTATCTCTCGGCTGTAGATCCTCCAATCATCTCTGAATTGGTGCTGACACTGTCGTTTCTTCTGGAGGGTGGCTACTTTTGTTCCCCATGGCCCCTGTGTGTGTTGTAAAGTAGTCACCGCTCCAAGCTTGCTCCCGTGATGGACTACAATCTCAATACAAATTAGTAAACTAAACCTGATATTGTAGTCCATCGCAGGAGTGAGTTTGGCGCTGTGACTACTTTACAACACACACAGGGGCCATGGGGAACAAAAGTAGCCACCCTCCAGAAGAAACGACAGTGTCAGCACCAATTCAGAGATGATTGGAGGATCTACAGCCGAGTGATACACAAATAAGATACATTTTTGTTCATAGTGAAGGTACTTGAATGTATTTTTAAGATTTAATTCCTGAGTTGTGTCCCTTTAACATTTTTTTTAGAAGCTTTGTCTTACTGTATTGTCCAGGCTGCTCTTCACAGGCACAATCCCATTAATGATCAGCACAAGGGTTTTGACCTGCTCTGTTTCCAACCTGGGCCGATTCACCCCTCCTTAGGACAACCTGGTAGCCTCAGGCTCCCCTAGAGCCACCTTATTGATACCGAACTTAGTGTGGACACCCGATCAACATAGCTCAGGGTAGACTAGAACTCCTAGACTCAAGTGATCCAACAGCCTCAACCTCTCAAGTAGCTTGGATTACAGATAAACACCACTGTGCCCGGTGACTTTAACATTTTTGAGTAGAACTCTAAAGAAACGCTTTGTTGAGGACCTTCTACCTCTAGCCTGGTTGGGTCTACATCTACAGATCTTTCTCACTGCACCTTTTTTGAAATACCATTTATATACCCACCATTAAAAATCTGTACCTCTGAGAAGCAAACATTGCTAATTGGCTGCACAACTCAGCAACAAGCAAACAAACAAGTGCCACCTATGGGTTTGTGTCATTGGTGGACGGGGTCCAGCTCGTTGGAGCTTACAACTATGACCAAGAGTGGGCAAACCCCCCGAGGCAGGGAGCCATGGTGCGCAACATTTGTGGCTATTTTTAAAGACGGTCGGCGAGGCTTTCTCTACCTGCCGGGACAGTTTGACCGAGTCCAAAAAGTTTCATTATCCCGTCAACTCCATATCCGCCGACTCTGGCGGCCCTCACCTGTCAAGTAGATTTTATCCAGCGTCACTTTCCTGGCACGTATAAACCTCCCAACTTGCTCCAGGTCACTCTGCCGAATGTGATCCAAGAAGACGACATCGTTGGGAAAATGCACCGAACGCGTCGACCTCAGGCTCCGCGACCGGTGGGAAGGGTAATACTTCATCTTGAGGATGCCGTGATCGGGGGTGGCGGAAGGTGAGCTTAGCGCCAGCGCTGTCCGATGGATTGTCCCAGCAAAGGGCAGAATGGGGGTTCAGGTTCTTCTACCACCAGCCGTGGCAAATCTTTCGGACGGTTTTTGTTTGTGTTTTTTTTTAAGGTCCCTCGCCCTGAGATGCAGATCCGAAAGGCTGCTGACCAATTCCACACGAGCAGAAGCGGCGCACAAAACCCCCCTTTTTATAGCTCTGCCTTCCTATCTATTTAAGGGACGCTCATCTCATCTCACTGTAAGGCAAGCGACCGAGGCAGACGCCCACTGCTGTCCATGGAAAGGCTCATCTTACCAGGTCAACTGATCGAGAGAGCAGCTGCTACTCAGAGCTTTGCAGGGTCACAAGCAAGGAACACAAATTGGCTGCAATTCGGGGTGGGGAAAGAACGCCCGCCATGGCGATCCCTGACAAGCCCCGCAGACGTGATCAGACAGCTATCTGTCCACACACACACACACAGAAGGAGGAAGCAAGGGCTTGACTCGTTAAATAGGGGTCAGTCGCGCTGGGTCAATGTGTCTAGCCATGTCCAATAGGGCTTTGACGCTATAGAAAATAGACCCCCC